ATACTTATTTTTTGAAAACAATATCAGGAAGATGGGGTTTGTTAGCTGCGTCACACTCTTGGAGTTGTTCTTGGAAGTTTCCTACAGCACGTTCACACATATGGCGAGGTATGGCCATAACCTCTGCTGCAATAATCCGTTCCTTTAGCTGTGGTTGGTGTGAAGGCAACTTCTGAACACCCTTTCTTTTAGATGTCCCCAAAGAAAGAAATCACAAATGCTCAAATCAGGTGACCTCGCTGGCCACTGTTAATCACCCCCCAGAGTCTGGGAACATGCGTTTCAAAACATTGAGTGACATTCGGGCTGTGAGAGGCTGTATGGGGCAGATGACTCCCTGCTTCCACATAGTTGGCACCACTCCACTGACAAAGCTAGTGTAGAAAAGGTTAAGGGGCTCATTTTTGATGTAATCAGGACTCCTTCTTAAGTTCTTAGGAAGGCATTTGAAATAAGATCATTCCCTGGTGAGGTATTCTTTAGTGACTGGATAGCTGTCTGGAGCTCTTGTAGACTAATGTCAGGACAAGTTGGCTTATGAATACCACGCAGTGCACTTTCCACCTCTCCAGTCACCTCCCCATCCCCAGCACGGTATTCAGCACTGGATGAATCATGTGTGAAATGCTCAAGGAAAAGCATTGCTATTTCATAATTTGAGGAGGAGTGGTAGCCAATTGGAAGGTTTCTCAAGCCTTGTTTTCCCCAAATGCTCTTAATTGCATGCCACACCTTAGAAGAGGGTGTGGTGCTCCCCAGGGACACAGTGAATTTCTTCCAGCTTTCTTTTTTCTTTTTCAGGGCTATATTTTTTGCTATTGCAACACAACGTTTGTAGCATATCAAGTTTAGGGGAGTTGGATGGCTCCATAGAAGGTTCTTTGCTCTTTTCCTTTCTTCAACAGCAGCCTTGCACTTTTCATCCCACCATAGGGTTATTTGTTGGCATTTTCTCTTGCAGCTTGTCTTTAGGATGCAGTCATTTGCAAATTTTGCAATGCTGATGATTTTTTGGGTTATGCACTTGTTGAGGGTTTCCACATCAAGAGGAGCAGGCATTTCACTTCAGGGTATGGTGCTTTGGAGAAACAGAGCAGTCCACTTTCTCCAGTCGGCACTTTTCAAGGCCCAGTTTATTCGGGAATCTATGTTGCGCTTGTCACACCCAAAGCCAAATGTAATTTCCAGAGGGAAATGGTCACTACCAATGTCACTGCCCCGATGAAGCTCCCCAAGGGTGCCCAAATTTTGAGTCGCTATGCAGAGGTCAAGACAAGAAGTTGTAGCAGTACGGTTGTCAATGTATGTAGGGGTGTCCGCATCGTTAAGCAATATAAGATTGTGGAGCTCCAGTAATCTTTCGATACTTCTGCCTGTGAAGTTGGACCTGTTTGAGAGTCCCATAGTGGTGAGTGTCCATTGAAGTCTCCGATGAGGAGAAAACTGTTTCCAAGCCGATTAGTGTAATGTCGTAACTCCTGTAATGATATATTTTTACAAGGGTTATAGGCATTTAAAATATTAATCCTGCTGAAGTTGGTGAATATTTCTATGGCCTGGCACTCGAGGGAGCCAGCCGGAAAGGGAATCATTTGCTTAGGTTTATATATGACGTCTTCCCTTGTTAAGATTCCAAGGCCTCCCTTTTCTCTGATTCTATGTGCCCAAAGTGACTGGTATCCAAGGAATTTGGGTTCATTCTTCTTCAGCCATGTTTCACTCAAACAGACCAGATCTGGCTTTTTTGTGTATATATAGACCTTGAGTTCTGAAACTTTTCCCTTAAGACCATTGCAGTTCAGTTGGTAGATTTCAAGCTGGGACTCTAATTCAGTTGCTCATTGTATGGAATTAATATTTTTGGTTGCCATTTAAATTTTCTTTTTCTTTAAACTCCTGGTTGACTTATTCTGTTGCTCATGAGTGAGTTGTGATTCTTCTTTCTCAGGGCGAAGTGCATTCTTGTATGATTTTAGTTTAGGATTAGTCTCTTTTTTGTTTTTTTTAGGATTAGTCTTTCTGGTTGCACTGATGGTCAGTAATTCCTATTCTTTCTTGTTTTCGTTTGTGAGGTCAGTATGAATGATTTCTTTTAAAAACTTACTATAATATGCTTAGTTTCTGGATTTCATTTTTTATTAAGCTGATTAGCATCTCCATGGCATCGACTGAAGGTGGCTGTTCAGAGGTTACACGAGTAGGACTTGCATTGAGGTTGTGTCTCCTTGAAGACTGGGCCACTTGGCTGTAGGTGTTCTCTTCTGTTGATGTAGCTGGTGGGGAGGGCAAGCTGCTGTAGTGAGTGCCTTGGGATCTATGCACATCTGCTTGAATTGTAGTTGTCTGGAGAGAATATTCTTTTGGTGCCATTGTTGTTGTGACAAATTTCTTGCTGACTGGCTGCTTTGGTTCTCATTGGTGTAGTCTTTTGAAAGTGGACTTCTAAACATCGAGTCTGTTTGCCTTCTGGCAGCATCACAGGACATGCTGTCTCTTGTCAGTGAGTCTATTGCCTTAGCTTGAATGTTGTATCAACACTCTCTATGGCTGGCAATATGAGGCCCTCCACAATTAGCACATTTATTTGATGTTGATGTGCATACTTCTTTGGAATAGTTTCCTGCGCAGAGCAGGCAGCGCATGGGTGCTGTGCATCCACTGGAGAGGTGTCTTGGTTTTTGACATCTGTAGCATCTGAGTGGGGGTGGGTTGTAGACTCTAACTTTGTTTTCAATGAAGCGAAAGAGGACTTTTTCTGGGAGTTGCTTTCCTTCAAAATCCACTTTTAGGACCATGGACTCTTCTTTCAGAGATCCAGAAAATTTTGGCAGTCTGGTTATCTTGACTTTTGCAGGGTTGTTTCTGTAGGTCTAAAAGCTCTTCTAGGTTGACGTCCAGACCCAGTGGTCCAATGACACCCAAGCATGAGTTGATAAGATCCAATGTTGGTCTGTAACATTTTACTTACCAGTTCCCAAGCTTGGTTATTGAAAGGAGTTTTTCTTGTTCCTGTTTTTCAGAGGGTTTGAATTCCACTGCAATAATATTGCACCTCTTGTTAATGCGGACATCATGGATTGAGGAATCATGGATTACTTTTTGTAGTTCTCTTGTGGCTTGCCACTGAGATGGGGTCCAAGGAGATTTTTCTTGTGCCTGGAGACAGTTGTTTATCGCCGTGTTGTTGTTTCCTGATGATTTGTCAGTTGCATTGGTTGGAAATGATTTATATTGTGTTCATTTGGCAGATAATCTAGGAGCTTTGATGGTGTTAGCGTTAGCAGGGGAGGCTGTTGGTTGGATCAAGCTGTCTGATTCTTGTTCAGATTCGGTACCAATCTGCCATTTGTGCCTTCTAGGATTAGGGGACCCTTCTTGTGTGTCCATTCTTGACCTAGTTGTTCCATTGTTTTCTAGCACCTTAGTCTTGGGTCAATGGCCAGTGATGTCTTCATCTGAAGAAGCTTGGAGTCCAGGTTGCAGGAAGGGCCAGCAGGATCTTGTGTCGGAGTTTCTGGGACAATGTTTTCATCTTCACTGTTAGGCATGTCAGACTCTGACTCTGCCATTATCATTAGGCATTTATTACCTTCAATCACAATTCACAAGTAGCAACTTACACACTACACAGTTATACAAAGAAATAGAATAAATGCTAATATAAATAATAAATATAATGGTGCAAATAGTTAAAGAATAATAAATATATATTTTTTTCAATAGTGGTACATAGATGAAATATAGGCTAATATGAATAGAACAAGTTTATGCGGCAAATGGCTAGGTACAGCATAAATAAAGTCAAAATAATATTGATGTTGATATGGGATACCTAGTAAACACTCTAGTTATATTACCAAATTCCAAACCTCAATTCAAAACTATGCTGGAATGAGGAATCCTAACTGATTGTAGGTACTTGGGACACAAAATATAGGTACACTTGAATGACTTGACACACTACATGGTATATGTAAAGATAAATGCAAATGGAAAAAAAACAACAACATAAATCACATTAAATAATAATTATAGCGGTTTCAGCGTTATTAGGTCGTAGTCGTAGACCTGTCGCCGATTCTTAACATCACAGAACATTCATAGCATTTTGCAGTCTTGAACTCACAACTCACTGCTACAATTCTGCTGTGCTTAACCGCCTGGCCTCCATGCCGATTCAGACAAGAAACTGGCGCACAGAGCTGGGATCGAACCCACGCCTCTCTGCGCCAATCTTGGTACTCTTAACCACTGGGCCACCCTGCCACATTGACAAGTTGTTTAATGATGTCATGTGGCCAGGGTTTCAAGAAAAATAATATAACTGTTATATGAAAGAGATAATAACTGTGAACAAAAAAATGCTGGGATTTTGAATACCGTACCTAAATTCAAACTTTGGCTGGCCCACAAACCTACTCCTGAGTCCTGACCTACATAGTACCTACCTCTTCTCATGGAGAGAAGAGGAGGGGGGAGGGGGCGAGAAAGCCAGCCGGGTTCTTGACTGCTGGACGGGACCCTCGCTAAATATACTCGAGTCGAGGTAATGAGGTATATATAGAAGTAAGCTATAGTCCAAGATCAAGTTAAACGTGGATTATTTTTAATTTAATTATCAATTAGATATTATTTACCATATAACTTTGCGCAATCAAGGGCGGTAGTGCCGGTAGACACTAGAGATGTTCACTCGATGAACCATCATGAACGCAGCTGCCTCTCTCTGACAGTACTGTGATTGAGGAGTCAGGACCATAAGTCACCATATTGTGCGGCGAATCGCGTCATTAGCATATCCTTTACGGTAATCATTTTCTGTAAACAGTGCCTAATCATCATAAATATGTAGAATTGCACTAATAATTTCTACCGAAATATTTTATATCAACATATTATGATATTAGGTATACGTACGCGGTAACACTGCATTATAGTGCATATTGACCTAATTTGACAACTCATCGTATGATCGGACTTTCCGCAGAATCGGGTATCAACACTACCGTACCCGTAGTACGGCGTAGGAAGTAAGTTGCGTCTGCTCTCAGTAAGTCAGTAGCTATATATCCGTTGCTCGGGTATATAAACACAATCCCGATGATAGCAGTTTCCTCTGCTGTGTTGGTGTGTGCATAGTACTAGTATAGTATCACATTACCTACCGCTCTCAGGCCTTTCAGCTTTTTGTGGTTTCATTGTTAAAATTTATTATCTGGTATTATTTTCAACTTATTAACATTTATTTTAGTATACATTGGTGATTCAAGTTTAGTTGCGTGAGACTAGCCATAGGCAGAAAATTGAAAATAAAATGTTGATTGAAGATCGTCTTAGCACTATTCACATTGATGAAGAACCTGAAGAGGGTGAAACTGAAGCATCAAATGAAAATCCTTTACCTAAGGGTTTACTTGTAACAAACCTCCCAGTTGAAGTATTTGATCATGATGATAAACAGGTAAGTAAGGTGGAATAAGAACTATTTATTATTATTTTATGAATTTATGATAAAATTTTGCACTTGCTTCTTGCAGAAATGTGCTTGATGTATCAGCAAAATAATCAGCTTAGGCCTATCAGCAATCAGCCTAGCCTACCACTTTGTAATTGTCAAATGCTAATGCTTTGTAGGCTTAGCTGCACACAAATTGAAATTATCACTTTTTCTATGAAGTTGCTCTAATAATTTCCATCCAAATTTGCCTAGTGTGCTATCAAATGACTAAAATGAGTTGGTAATGACACATTACATTGTAAATAAAATTTGCATAGTTTTGAATACAATTTTTTTACCAATGATCCATTCCGGAAAATTGGACACTGGGCAGAGGCCATGGATACAAATGGATGGAACAAAAATGCTTAAGCTTGCAGAGTTGCAGTGAAGTTCACCTGTTTCCATAGACCTTGCCTAATTTCTTTCATAAAAATGAGAAAAACTGCTTATTTCTTGCCCTTTTTAAGAACTTTCTGTTAAATATATAATAGTTTTTACCCAAGGTTTTTGGAAAATTTTGTCAAATATTCCTGATTGGCTGATTCCATATGAAATGTTTACACTTGTTATTGACTTATTGTTAATGCCACACCTTAAATATGCATATTTAATATATATTTTTTGAATAGTTAGGCATAAGAGATGATAAGTTGTCCCATAATGAATGTAATGCTGAAGACCAGAAAGTTATTGTACTTAAAATTTTTTTTTCTATGATGCCATCTGTTTGTTCTTTAAAGATTCAATTACAATTCAACTTTGTTCTTCAAATTTAATTTTACTTGGTGCTAAAATTATCTGATTAATAATAATAATAATAAGCAAACTTAATACAAAAGTATTTATATAAAATCTTCAATACATTTAACATGTATTTAATGCTCTTCAGGCTGAGTTTGAAGGTGCCTTCCGAGCGTTGGATCCTAATGCAACATTCAACTACTTCAAGAGCTTCACCCGTGCACGAGTGAATTTCACTAACCATGACCTGGCAGCAACTGCTCGTCATTTGTTTGACCTCAACCTCTTTGGATGTCAGGTTGTCCGATGCTATCTTACTCAGGTAATGAAGTATTTAGATAATCATCTTTATTTAAATGTGGTCTATAAATTTCAACTTCAAAAATATCAGAGTTCCTAGCCACCTATTCCATTAAAGTATTTTCTTGCAGATAAATTCTTGACCAGTAACAACCAACTCAGTTATTCTATTTTAGTCCTAATTGAGTTTATGTCCTGCATATATTGTACATTGTTTGATATTCCATTTATAATGAACTTAGTGCTTATTACATGATTCTTTTGTATTGTCAACTATTAGTCCATTACCATTTTTGAATACCGTAAAATGGGGTAACTTAGACCACTTTTTTTCATAAATGATGCCATTTTTTTACTAGCTAAATTAAACTTAAGCCGGTCTATGTTACCCCGTCAGGGCTGACATTAGGTGGTCTAAGTTACCCCATTTGGGGGCGGCGCCCCCCATTTGCAAACTATGACACTTTCCTAAAATTTGTCATTTGCATATGTAACTAGAAGAGTTCTACTGCAATGCATCAAAACCTGGAGTTATTTAACCAAAAAATAAAAAAATTGGAGGTTGTACTCTGACAGGCTAAATAATAGCTTTTTTTCATGGGTCACATTTTTAATTTTTTAACCTATTAGATATGCAAACTTTTCAAATCTTTCTATTGTGTTATGTGGCCTCAGTATTAGGCCTTTAATGCCCATTGACAAAATTTTTCTATGTCAAATAGTTTTTGAGTTGTGGGGGTTTTTGTTAAAAAAACGAAAAGTGGTCTAAGTTACCCCACCGGTCTAAGTTACCCCATTTTACGGTACCATGGGTGTAAATAAATATTTTTTGTTGCCAGCCTATAGTTGTTGGGAGTGGTGCTCCTCATCTGATGCCACCTAAGCGGGAGAAGCAATTCCTGATCAGCCCACCCGCTTCCCCACCTGTAGGCTGGCAACCTGTTGAGGAGGGTCAGCCCATTATTAACTATGATATTCTTTCTGCGCTGGCTGACCTTGCACCAGGTAAAATATCTCACAAAACTTGAACTTATTTGCTTGTCAGTTAATTCTATTATTTAAAAAGACCATCATCTGAGATGAAATGTCTCAGCTCCTCTAACTTTTCTCTATAAGACAGGGTTTTTTTGAACATAAAGGTGCAAGTATTTTATTATTTATTTTTATCCATTTAATGATTATTGATCCTATAAAATTGAAAATTTTTAAATCTACATGAAGTGAAGTTTATGTTTATTTGCAGCTTTACATTTTTTTGTACACATTTAAGTTATCTAATGGATAGATACTTCCGGTTTATTTTTTGTCATCCATATTGTTGTTCTGTTATTTAATGGTTTCTAAAACAAAACAATAGGTTATTTTTGGTCCCTACCTCTTGTTTAGAGCATCCTATACTGCCCCATAATATGATTATATGTGGGTTCCTGTTTTTCCTGTTATAATCGAATATGAATGTAAAATAGTAGGATGATATTGAAAGGAAGAACCAAAGAAGGCTGGAGCCTCCTATTTAATAATGCTCATAAACTTGACTAATTCTTTTTATTCTGCATTTTATATGTATTTGTTCTTTTTTTATTCTGTATCTTGGACAATCTCATTGCAGTTGTTCTTTATTGAAAAACCAGGGAGAATTTTGATACTTATTAGAACTTAGGTTAAACTCAAGCTACTTGACTCAGGTGAAGCGCACGAACTGCACCCTCCGTCCCGCTCACAGCCCGGCATCGTGGTGCATGTGTGTGAAGAGGGCGCCGTCACGCACGACGAGCTCGGCCTGGTCAAGCGCTGCATCGGCGTCCGGCTGCCGCAGACCGCGCGACCTTCTACTGCCTCAGCACCTGCTGAATAACTCGTACCTTTTTTGGTAGATTGGCCTCAAACTGGGAAACTTAACACTATTCTTGTGGATTTTATTTTTTTCTCAGCAGCAGTAGTAGTAGTATAGATGGTGAAACAACTTCAGTTAATCATGGGTTCATGGCGCAATCCTGTTCTTCACCGTTTCTGATCATTTAGAGTAGGAAATTATCTTTAGAATTGGTGAATTCCTATACAGGCCTAAATGAACAGATGCATAAGCTGCCTCATTGTTTGTAAACACAAGCACAACGAAGTTTGAAAAGCAACAGCTATATTTGTTTCAAATAGAGTTTGGAGATCACTTTGTGAGCGATTTCCTCCAAATGAGCTTGTATCATGGCTTGTAAATGGTGATTGGGAGGTCGCCACGGTAATAAACATGTAAGTAATGCCCCAAATAAGCTATATGGGAGGAGTGGTGAAAAACAAACACAGGTTCGTAATTTGAAATTGCGGACTCTTTTCTTTGCAAGTAGTGATTAATTTTCAATGTTTTGAGCGTGGTTGTTTTGTATTGATGGCTGTCAGAGTATCTAAGTCTGGTATGCTGATCTCATACCTAAATAATTCGTAAGGCTGACAACACCCTAACGATACGCAGAGTAGAGTATCCTGGTAGAGTAGAGCATAGTACTGGATTGCTTCTATTTTCCTGCTCACCTTTGAATGATCTTTAGAAATTTGTAAAGCCTCTCTTCAAGGTCCGCTCCAAAGAATACTGGAGAAATTGCATCAAGTTCAGTTATTCTGAATGAAATCCCTAGACTGTCTCAAATCTTGTTGGTTAAGCTGCCTCTTCCATGTTTTGGAACACTTAATTTATTTTTGCAGGATTAGTTAATGAGGAAGAAACTACAATTTTTTTGTTCTAATAATTTTGAGGACTGCTGGAAAGGTTAAAGAGAGTTTTGCATGAAACACTTGTCATTGAAAGTTTATTATTCATGATATTCCTACTTATATAATAACATAATAACAACAAGTAAAAGTAATTGACATCATAATACATTGGTTGTCTAATTTTAAGAACAACTTAGATACAATGGATGAATAAACCTGTTTTTGTTTTGATGGGATTTTTTCGCATTCATTGTAATGATTGATGCTTTACTCAGTCTTGTCTTGGATCCTTGAGTCTGGAATACTTCACATCTGAGCCTACTTGATGTCTCCCGATTCCCTAACAACTTTGTCACTAGTGTGTATAACCTACAGCCCCTAATCTTAATTATAACGTGCTACCCTTAACCTTGAATATAACTTACAACACCTAATTTTAAATATGGAGTGAAATCCCTAACATTAGATATAATGTGCAACCCATAACTTTAATTCAATGGACTGGCTTGTGTAATATTCTGTGTAGAAAGTTAGCTTGTAAGAATATACTCGTAATCTTCTTTGTCCTGCTGCTAATTTTGCTGGTATTCCATACAAAGCTTACTCTGGTGTCGAATCGTACTCAAAGGGTCATAAAAAATGTTTAATGCTTGTTTCAAAAATTTTTTTTTTTTTGAGAAGCTATATGGGAAGCTCAATATATAATTTGAGCTTCTCAATTTTGAGAAGCTCAATATATAAAAAATATATTGAGAAGCTAATGCTTGCTTGAGACAGAATGAACGTGTTTCAAATACACGTTCATTTTTAACACAAATCTTTTCTGAAGTGTGCTTCATAATTGTTGTCATGAATTTTCCACTTCGATATTTCATAAATAAATAGTTTTTTATTATTATTAGAATGATATTTTGATTGGTTTTTCCAAGAGGTCGTGGGAAAATTATTTTTACTTCCATCTACCCGATACTGTTTAAAGACACGAGGTAATTGTATTTTGCAGGCTTTACAAAAATAAGAATAATTATTTTCAAATGTTGATATGAAAATTCATCACTCGTATGCGCCTTGAGGATCCTCCTGACTTCCTTTTTTAAGATGCGCTCGTCAACTATAGAATTAACGCAATTCAAATCTAGTTTAAGCCAAGTTTAAATAGTTGATATTTCTTTGGTTGTGGCTGACACCGTTCGTTTATTGTTTAGTTAATAGGTACTCGTTTCTCTCTTGTTGAGTTTTAATTGTTTATCACTAATTGCGTTTAAATTCGTTTTTGCTCTACTTAAGTTTGAACCTATTTGTCTCTAGTTTACATGAAACTCGTGTTCTTAGGAAAATATTACTCCACACTTTAGGCTTTAATATCGATGTTGCAGAATATGATCGCAGTCGGAAATAATCTATGGCAAACTTGGTTTTAGATTAAGATGCTAGGTTTCATTATATGTTTCGTCCTGTGATTGTGAGTTGTGAAACATAATATCGCTTTCTTTGATGGATCTCCCTCCCCTGATATGCTTTGATTAAATTTCACTGTTGTGTACTTCAATTGGATTTGCAGTGCACAGACATTTGTGCTTCTTTTGATGTTCTCCCTTCTTTTGATGCTTGTTCCTATGCTCGAGAATCTTCCAGTATGATGCAATTTTCCCGACGTCAGACGCAGGCATCATATTGGAATGATGTTAGAGAGGCTTGGTTGCTGCCTGCTGGCATTGAGAAAACACTTACGGCCGGAAACCGTGGCAATTTGGCCGTTATATCGTGGCTGCAATAACATATTTTCCACAACGTCTAATATTAAGATGGATTATTGGCTTCGAAGGTGGATTATTGGCTTATATACGTAGGACAGATACGTAGACCTTCTTTTCGGCCGTGAATTTAGTACCCGCCCGAGCAGAGTCCACTTCCTTAGTCGCTTGTTGTGATACAAACAAAGATTGTGTAATTCCTATGTAATATTACTTAATTTTCTGTGTTATAGTTTTCGTGATGTGAGTTGCGTGTAAACTTATTTATTTTTGAAAACGCGAAATGGAAATAGGATATATAATTTTTTTTGATTTGGATGGTTAATGTTTAGGAAAATTATTACGCGTTTGAAATTGATTGTTTGCTTCTATTTGAATTGTAATTTATTAGTTATTATCGGTACGTACTCTATAGATATTCATAACGTGAATGTGAAATTTTAGTGTGCAAAGGCAAGTCAATGTTTACCTGAATTTTAGTCCTTAAATTATTCGTATATAAAAACTGTAGGCTGATTTATCATGCGGTAGTATTGTATATTCTGTTGATTTATGTTAATTTTTATCACTCATTTATCTCACCTCAATTTTTATTTTTCTCAGCGACTTATAATTTTTTCTCTAATTTTATTTACTTCTTCTCTCGACTAACAAAATTATTTCTTATCTATGTAAGATTTAAGCAATACTGAAATCTCACAATCCTCTGCGGGCTGTTAGGATTCTAATCATTGGATTGAGTTTCGGCGTCTGCTTGTGATTCGAGAATTGTCTTGTTTTCGGGTGGGTTTGCCTTCTGTTGCTTGGATGGCCAGTCATTCCCGTCCTGTTTCTCCTCATTTTTTTGCATTAGCCATGCATCGGGAGAGACATTGACTACTCACAAAAGCAGAATCGTCTAAAAAGAACTGAATTGAGTTTTGAAACAAATTACGGAGACTTTCAACTTGAAAAACTCTTGCTGAGTCCATGATTTGCAACTTGCCATTTGTGGCGTCTCTCACCATTAAACTGCAAAAAACCGCAGCTTATGTCAATAGCTTACCAAGTTTTGTTATTGGCACTGGCTTACCTAGAACCAAATTGTCAACAATTGGTACGAAGTCATAATTTCATTAATCACCAACTGACAGCATTTGTCTACATGAAGGTGCTGCTTTTATTAAGCGATAATTTGATAATCAGGCCTCTTTACTTATCCGAACGTTTTAGTGTCTTAAGTTATACGTGTTGTGAGAGCTCTTGTTCTGCTCCGGAGCTCGTGTGGCGTTGTGGGTATAGAGGTGTTCCCCAAGTTTCCAGTTTTACTATATGTACAGTTAGTTTCTATTAATGCCCGCCTTATCTGTATTGATGCAAACGGCCTTTTCTTGCGATAAAGTGCAAGATCAGATTTTTGGGTTGAGTAAATTGTTTTTTTCTTCTACTTCCATCGCATCTTAATATTGCGATCTATTTTTGCTCTTTTGCTCATCTGTGTGTCTCCATCGGTCTATCGTATGTTTCCCGATGTCCTAAACTTGTCTTCTTTATTTCCCCATCAATCCTGTTAACAACCTGGTCAGCACATTTGGTGTTCTGTTCATTCATCCCTGGAGGTTGTAGCCTCTAAGGTTGTATCCCTCTAAGAGAATGATGGGTCAATAGTTCCAAATTCAATAGCAATGGCTGTTATGCGTACTGTTCTCCGTCTTCATTTAAACAAGCCAAGGACGTTTGTTGCAACATTTGTTTCAGCTCCGGTAGTGACCATGCCTCAATTTTGACCTAATACCGCTATAGGCGGACTCATCGCAAGCTTGGAGTGTGTCGCTGCTAACATTTCGAACGTTTTCTGTTTGCAAGATACAATTGGATGAACTTGCCGTAGAGTCGAAAATTCAATAACTTGCAACGTATATGGACTATTGCTTAGATCTTTGAGTGGGACGTTCTTGTAATCCTTGTCATTATTTATCTATATTTAAAGTACGACTTCTTTCCTTCACCTGCCTTTCAATAAAATGCTTATTGTTTTATCTGCTTGCTTCGGTTGAGGTTTGCTGTTCGTCGGCATCATAATCCTTGAAGGAACCAATTTTTTATTCCGCTATTAGTTAAATTACTCTCAGTGCACTCAAGTTTAAGTATTTCAAACGAAGCGCTTCATAATTGCGAGCGAAGTTTGAAGCTTTACAATATTATTTTTAATACGTTGCTGTTGAGTGTTGAGTTTAGATTATTTATTGCCGCTGTGTTCGTATACCACCCAACTTGCTTCTGTAATTACGGGAAATCTATTCAGATATATAAATAAATATATTATTGAAATTATATGCGTTTGCATTTCTACTGCACGAAAGTTCTTTTCGAGGAATATTTGGATGGCTAACTTGTCAACTGTCTCATTAGGCCTATTCTAGGCCACACCAAACCCATTCTACAGCGCTAACAATACTACTTCCTGGAAATTTGCGAGTCATTTTTTGCATCCGCTTAATCTATCCGCATTTGCGTATTCGTCCCTTCGCAATAAAAGCGGTTGGAAATTGGAATCAGCTGACGTAATATTATCTAGAGTCACGTGCGTCACAGCGTGTAACTAAGAGATCTCTGTACACTGTACGACTACGTAGTGGTACCGTGGTACGGCTGTGGGCTGCATCGTCTGCGGCCAAATAAATCATTCATTGCTGACGGTTGGTAATTTTTTTTTGTAATTTACCAATAACTAAACCTTGGCTATGACGTCGTCAACTAGAGAAAATTTCCAATTGGCGCTTAACTTCGTCCCTAAAAGTTATTTAACTCAAGCCATCCAAGCTTCACAACACTCGGCCAAACAAATAAATCTTCTACTTCGACAGGTAATTTGCTGATATGGGGCGTTCCTAATGCGATAAAATTGCACAAAATCAGACTTATCAATTGAAGCTCTTTTTCGAAGTCAAATAAAAACAATATTATAGAACTAAAGCCAAAAGGTTGGCCTAGTTCAAGCTAGCGTAGTTCCTATTCATACTTCTAAGTAGGCTATTCTTCTTCATAAAATGACCTTCAATAATTAGGAAGTTAGAGCATGCATTATCATCATTCACCAATTGTCTCCAACAATTTGACAACTGTCTTCATCTCTGAAAAATTTTTTAGTTACAATCTGATTAAAATTAACACCCGTCACCCAGATTTTAAACCACATGGCTATAATTCTGTACAATAAAAACGGTATTATTGCAGATTAACTACATCCAAAAAAAAGGGTGTTTTTTTTTTAATTATATGTTTTTTGGGGTGTAGATTACGAATCTGAAATCCATTTATGACGGAATATAGGGATTTGGTAGGTTTCCATTCTAAAGGCTTTTTAATAAATATGGCAACATTTTGTGACGTTTCATCATTGCTGACGCGTAGTGAAGTGTTTCGAGAGTCATGTGAAGGCAACAGAACTTACGTAACGCGTACGGTTTTTTTTATAGTTTTTCATTTCTCGATGCGTCCTTAATGTGTCGGAATATACCGCGTTTACCCTATGTCTTCAGAAGATTTAGCTAACACATTTCTCTTTAAAAAGTTATTTTCATGTATTTTTGGTAATAAATTTTGATAGTTTAGATTGTTCAGCTTTTTCTAATGACAATTAATAGTGGTAGCAATTTAGGCCTAAAAAGATGATCTTGGCAACACTATCTCCAAATCCTGCTATGGGGCTTGATGATAAAATCTCAGCTAAACAGCCTGAACCATGAAGAGAATGTGGAATCAAGAGAAAGCATTGTAATCCTGTATGCCATGCTCCATATAAAAATATTACCATTCCTGGCCTTCCAAAAATTTGCCCTATTAGCAGAAAACCAATGTATTTGATTTGCAGTCACATTCAACATGGTTTAATTTACAAATAATAATATATGATTTTTTTACAATTTTGGATCATAAGGCTGATGGCTATTGACAGTAGATGCATTGATTGACCTCTTTATTAGTTATTTGAATGCTATAATTTTTTATGTTTTTAACAGGGTAAATTTCCTGAGAGTGGTTGGAGTGATGTTTTAATTGAAGAATTCCTCCAACAAATCTCAACTCTTGATTCCAATAACTTCCCTCATAATGTTGGAGTGGGGGAGCGGGAGGCAAGAATATTCTCAAGTAAGAGCATTTTAGCCTATATAGTTTTAGCATTACTGATTGAGTAAGAAGTAATGAAGGACCAGTTCAATGCTTTCCTTCCTAAATTTAGTTGAAAAAATTTTGACTGCTGCAATGATTAGGTATGAAGAATAGTTTCCTACTAAAAATAAATTGTTCCAAAGAAATTGTTTTAAGCTGTCTAATTTGTGCTGGTTATTCATGCTGCAATACCTTGAATCCTTTCAATACTGAATAGCAGCAGTAATATCTTGTCATTATACATACTACCCTGCATTAATCATTCTTATTAAAATATGCCTAATTTTTCAGGCCTAGTCAAAGCTCGTCACTGGGGCTTGGGTCATGGCATTGGGCGATCAGGAGACTTGTGTGCTAGTCAACCCAAGGCTGTGGGTAGCAGCCTGCTGTATAACCTTACCACCAGCATGGTTAAGGATGCCATTAAAGCTGCTGGTTTGTTGGTCTAACACTCTATTTTCCCATTAGCAGGCATCTATTGTACCTATGCAAAATATTTATCCAAACTTATTTGATGGTCAAATCTCATTATGATGTAAATTGAATTGTGTTTGAAAATTTCTGCAACTTTCTATATTTTTATGACTAAAATATTTGGGTCTGTGGGGATATCTATTAATTGTCCTCATTGCAATGTTTGTGGCAGGTGTTCCTGGTGCTGTTGATGTGGTGGTGCTGCCATGTGCTACGGGAGCTGCACTGATGCTCTGCCTGTCATCCCTGGCTGAGGTGCGCCCTGGTTCTGACTTGGTGGTGTGGCTGCGATGTGATCAGCGCTCTTGCTTCAAGGCTATCTATTCTGCTGGTCTGATGATCATTATTCTTTCTGTGCTACCGCACATCTTAAGTGTTACATGATCTCCTTTGTAGTTTTAAGTTTAACTAACTTCATGGCGTCGGTGGTTTTTCCATTACCTGGATTTGTCAGCATAATTATCTACTTGTGTAAATTCTAGTGCACTTATATGTCCATGTTTATGTTTACAGCAATTTTATTCCCATAAAGTAAAATAAAATCTTGGATAAAACATCATCCTGTTGCCAATTTTTAGTAAAGGTACTAACTTTGAGTTTTTAAAGTTTCCACTTGCTAAAATTTTTTGAATCCTACAATTCCTAACAATTCCAGGGCTGAAACCTGTGGTGGTTGACGGCATGTTGTCCGGTGACGAAGTAGTGAGCGATGTGGCGTGTGTTGAAGCCCTGCTGTCAGGTTCTGAATGTAAAAAAATAAGAGCCGTCGTCACCACGACCAGCTGCTTTGCTCCTCGAGCTCCTGACGACATCGAGAATATTGCTGTGCTCTGCAAGCAGCATGATGTCCCTCATGTCATCAACAATGCTTATGGTCTGCAGAGTACAAAACTCATGCATAGAATCAAAGAGTCTGCAAGAATTGGTCGTGTTGATATTGTTATTCAAAGCACAGACAAAAACTTCATGGTGCCTGTTGGTGGTGCCTTAGCTTTTACCTTCGATGAAGCCACTGCCAAGAGGATATCTGGTGCATATCCTGGTGAGGAGTTATTTATTTTCCTGTCGTTTGTTTTCATTGTTATATTTAAGAGCATCTTCTATTCAAAGATGGTGTTTTAAAATGAATATTACCAATCATTAAAATAATCTGAGTTGATTAACTCATTCTTGAGTATTCACACATATGTCGGGAAGAATCCTGCAAAAAATTTGATTTGACCAAGGAAGTAGACGATTCAAGGAATTCAACTGTCATGAACTTGTTAGAAATACCACCAAAATTTCGCTGCTTTCATACAATATTGAACAGAATTCTAAGCTGACTCATATGGGCCAGGCCGAGCGTCAATATCTCCCATCATGGATCTGTTCATGACGTTGCTGTCGATGGGCAAGGAGCGCTTCCTGGAGCTGCGGAAGGAGCGAAATGATCTTAAGAAACTTTTGGACTTGGAGCTTCAAGCGCTTGCTGAGCGACACTCCATTCGGACCTTGGCAGCTCCAAACAACCCCATCAGCACTGGTGAGATTCTTGTGTTGTTTGCAGCGAAATATGACAAAAAAATCTAGGAAAATGATTAAACAATGCAACTTCATGTGTCAAATCCTATTTAATGAACAGAGTAATTTCGACATCAAAGTAACTTCAATGGTGTCTATCTTCAATTTATTGGCATAGTTGATTGCCTCTACTGAATTCTGAACTTCAGATGTTAAGCATCCATCTCGCTGCTGGTGGTTATGCTTCCAACTCTTATTTAGTTGAGCGTGATGTTATCATCTGTGTATTTCCCCATGTAATTTCTACAATTTACTTTCCTTAATTTTCAGGACAATCAGGTACTACGTGTCACACTACATGACCATATTTAAGTGCACACGAGAAATTTTTCTTAGTTATAGTGCCTCATCGTAATAAGCTAATGTGCCATCGAGCTGCTTTACTCGTACTTGAATTCACTGGCCTTCTTTTCTCTCGTTTGAAATGTATTATTTTAGCACTTGAAGAACGTTGTACTTCTCGCATTGAACTCTATATCTTTTTCGAGCCTGTTGGGCGCACTGTTCATAACGTGTGGGGTTGTGGTTCTTGGTTGATTCGAGCGTTTCTGTACAAAACCTATAGCTTCGGGATATTATCTGGGCTTGAAGTCTGATTTTTGTAGGAAAAGCTGTTAGTGACTGGCTGACAGAGTTATAAACTCGTACGTATTTTTCGATTGTATAACTCCTATATGTTATTTATAAGTTGTACTTACCTTTATTCCCGATGCAAAGTATCCGAATATTCTGCCTCTTGACAGGCGTGGCACTGCCTGAAGGTACTGCCCCAAAGTCCGCCACGGCGCTGGGAGCGATGCTCTTCACACGCGGCGTGTCGGGAGCGCGTGTTGTGACGCCCGGCAAGTCGTCGTCCATTGGCAAAACTCACTTCGTAGGTCTGTAATAAATTCACGGTTCTTCGTTCAGTTCTGTTCATTTTCTGATCCACATTAAGTTTACATTTCAATGGATCTTTTGAAATGAGGGTGCAACTAAAGATAATTAATTTACTTTGAAAAATGTGCAAATCATTTAAACTTCAGATGGATGTTAACGAAACTAAGTTCTGTCACGCTTATAGTACGGTTTGTTCACCTGAGATTCATTAATTTGAGAAATATAGTACGTTTATGTAATTATTTATACACACGCAGTCTTCTTACTCAACTGCGAACCTCTATTGTTAATGCAATGAATTTATTTCACGTTTACCATTCACCAATGGATTGATGTTGTGTTGCAGGCTGGGGTAGCCACCACAAAAGTTACCCTGTCTCGTACCTGACCGCATCAGCCAGTATCGGCATGACGCGCAGTGACGTCATCGGTTTCATCGCATGTCTCGACCGCTGTCTCACTGAGTGGAGACGAAAAGAACCTGTCCCCAACTCGCTTACAGTGCAACAAAATGGCAATGCTGATGCCAATGAAAATTCAGATCAAGTGCACTCGTTGATAAATAATAAACACTGTATCCAAGATAAAGAAAATTCAAACGGATTGACTAGTGAAGAATAAGTGATGGAATAATTTACGTCCAGATAAACCCATCCTGTGTGTTGATTGCTGAAAAATGTTTTATGTTGATTTAGTTCTTATTCACATGTTTGCGTTATTGCTTTTCGTAATTTCCACGAAAGGAGAGTGAACCATTATTCAAGTTCTTTAGTAATAAATTGTGGCACAATATTTGCTTCTTAATTGTCTCGGTTTGATTTGTCTTCTATTGAAAACCTCAAATTGCCCAAAATCCCGCACTATTCACTTTCGTTTTCTCAACTTTATAGGTAGGCTTTTATGGAGCCGAGCCTTGAACTGTGTCGTCCACTTATCGCAATTGAGGCAGGTTGCAGCTTTGAATTAAGTGTGCTTCCTTATTGCCCCTTTATCTTATGATTTTTTTTGATGCATTCCTTTGGATTGGATTACATTGTTTCTATTGAAGATGTAATTAATGTTGGCGTTAAAACTAACAGCAAATTTTAATATTTTGCAGAAAGCTCTTTGATTGAATTCTTCTTTTTTGGTAACATTAAAAAATGCTGTGGTTTGAGTTATTTCATATCCACGTTATTTGATGCCTCAAATTTTCCAGAGATTTTCTCTTTTAGGTTACGTACTATTTTCTGTATGTTGCAAGCTATGGCTATTACAGATTGACTCGAATTACTTTTTTTAGAAGGCCACGTAGATGTTTTTTTGTACATTAGATTCTTTGACGCCAATGATACCAACATCGTATTTTAACGGGTCCTTAAATATCACAATTTATTTCGAGCTCATGAATTCTACTTACTTTTGCCACTAATTTTTAGAGATATTTTTCCTACATTTTTCATGCAATTTTCTCATGTTTTTTGTCTGTTTTCCTTACACTTTTAATGCATTGTTCCTGAAGCATTTAAAAAACTACTGAAAAATCTGCATTCATTTGATGAACATTTATCATGCATTTCTTATTACTTTTAACACATTTGTTCACTTTGATGACCTTTTATTTTTTTCGCATATTAACTATATTAAGTTAGATTGTTTTCCTATAATCACACCGTACGTTTGCGTCTGGGGTTTGGTGTTGGAAATGTAATAGAGGGTTATTCCAGCGCCTTATTCCCACACCAGGATATGAAAATTTGCTGGAACCAAGTTAAGGGGCATAGACACTTAAGAAATGGCTGAAAAGTAGGCATCTAATTTGAAATTCCAACTGTTCTTTGTTCTCCTCATGGTTGAATTAATATAGTATTATTTCAACCATGGTTCTACTTTCATGCATGTGACATTGAATAGTACCCGGAGGCTGGTTCAGGATTATTTATCCCATACAATCTCCGTCAACCTGTAAGTTATTCATTTGCTGACCTCGCATGTATTTTTTTACACAGTTACCAAAGAATAAAAATCATGAATTTTCTCCGAAAGTGTTAACCTTTACTGTGAATGAAGAAAAGTTTGTAATTTTACGTATGAAGGTGTAAATGTATTCTCAAACTAAGTGACCTTAAAGTATTAGGAATGTCTGAATATATGCACATGAAAAGTATTAGAAATTTTTCAATCGGCTTCTGACAGTCTGGGAAAGTCCGCGGTAACCAAGGACATGTTCTGAGGTATGAATCCAATAAATATTGTTCACCTCAAATGAGAAATGATTGAGTTTTGCCGCTATGAATATTAACAGAAAATAAAAACGGAAACCTGAAGTACATCACTGCAACTGAATTTTGTCATTATTGTGAAAAACGTAAAAATTGTTCGAGTTTCAAGGTGATGAAAATTTTGCTTGAGAAACAATAAGCTACGGCGAAACTCGGCTATTTAAGGGCCCTTTAATTAAAGCTCACAAGAAACTGGGACAGCAACGCAGGTCAAAGTCCTGTCACCCCGTATATGCGGATGAGATTGGAAGTCCCTCTTTGTAAATTTTTTTTTATCGTACCTCTAACTCTCTTTCGCCAAAGAACATTGAGAAATTGAAACTAAAGTTCGATTATGGAGTATTTTATGCTTTCTATATTTTCCACCTAGAGAATCGTCAAAGGGGCCTTCGATAAATAGTGTGAATTCTGCGACCGAAGAAAAAGTTTAGCCTTATAGACCTAGAGGGCTCACTCGGGTGGTTTTGTATTGAAGCTTGCACCTTCTCTTCGGAAACCCCTTAAGAAATTGAGTTTACAAGTCATCGATCCTGTGCATCAGCATGACCTTCGGGTTTTAATTGGTTGGTCAAACAAATAAAGGTATGCAAGATGAACGCCTTGTAGTAAGATTTTTTTTTTTGCCTTCTGCAGCTAAGCGACGGCTCAGATGAGTGCCCTTGTTTCAATTCCTATAGACATCCATTTTTTTCGTGCACTCTGCGGTCCCAACGTGGCTCATTCTACGTCTCGGACTCATTTCATTTTTCAGCTACATATGCTAGCTGAAAATTCAACAGATTTGCAATGGACTAAATACCCCCTAAATCTGTATTAAAATTCGTATATAAGGGTACCAGCTGTGATTACCCTAGACTGGTTGGCCATTTAGCACGTTTGAACGCCAAACTTTCTTAAATTTACGAATATAAGAATTTCAACAGAAATTTGTGGATTAAAAAAATTAAATAATCTACTGAATATATTTTCACAGTTAACTTCTGCTGCCATAACAGATAGACCGTGATTATCACGGTCGATAAATTAGGATAGATCATTGCAAATATAATTTATTTTCATTTAATGTATTCCCAGAATAAGGCAAATAGACTATGGTACCATGTTTTTGAGGCGGGAAAAAAAGTTGTCTTATAATGCATTATAGATATTATTAGGGTATTTCTTTTCAGATCTTCAAAAAGTCCCCATATCACCACTTCTGCTGAGTTCGGTTGGTTTTTCGACGTAATCGGCCGTGATGCCATAGCCATGGCTGGGCTTACGCGAAGTGTTCGTGCCCTTCAGAGCGCGACGAAAATTTTTTTTCCTCTCGTCCAGGGCGTTAGGTCTGCTGCACGTGAGTGAAAATTTTAGACTCGATCGTTTTTACTCGTCTTTCGATTCATGTGACAAAAGTTCTCCAAAATTTTTTGCAAAAATTTCAACCATGAGAGAAATCAATCTCACATTTTTATCTAAAATATACGGTATGGCAAAATAATTTGGTGCACTTTCTGTTATGTATGCTTTAATACTAGCTAGTTTTACGACTGGTAGAATTTTAATAATCAAGTATGTACCATTAATTTTAATGAGATTAATGGAGATTTTATGTGCATTAGGTTTGTCTTTAGCCTACCTGTTTTCTAAATTTTGTAGAATTCTAATGTTGTAGGTAGCTCACAGCCTTCAAGGTCTTGCAGTATAAAATAAAAAAAAAACAAGCAATTTTTACATTAAGATTGAACTCTTTAGAAATTATTTGATTCAATTGATTTGATAAATATGTTGCAAATGTCAATGCCTATTGCCTAATAAATGTCTAAACTGGAAAATGTTGAATGTCTGAACTTGAGTTCAGACATTCAACAAGAATTTACATGATAAATTCTTTTTAATACCATAAGCTGCGCATAACCTTGTGTTTGGGCTAAAAGATTGAAGAATACCTATTTTTAAAAACTTTTTAATGTTGTGGCTCAATTGTACACTTTATAAACAAGTAGATATGTAATAATTTATCTACCAGAAATCTTGATTTTGTTGCTCAAAAAATTCAATAAAGCTCTACCATCATGACACTTGAGTTGCCACCTGGCACCTAACAAAAGCCAAAGCAGATACTACTGTACTTACCTTGCCACTTATCACTAAAAATCATGTAATTTTTTTAATTATCATTTTTATCTAAAAGCCATGTTATTTGCATTTCAGCAGGTTTTCAAATCCTAGTTCTGACCAGTACTTCATAGTTTATAATTATGACTGATGAGCAAAAGTGCAGTATCTTCCAATCCATGTGGCTACTTGTGTGTCATTGACAATAGATGGTTCTTATTGAAGGCCAGCAACTTCAGTGCTATGGTACTGTTAGCAACATTGATGGTTCTTGCAAAACTAAGCATAAATCAAAAGCAGTAAGAAAGTATGAATTTTTTTATAATTTTGAAGACTGGGCCCCCTCATATAGATAAAGTAAAAATATGGCCTGTTTGAGCTGGTATTTCTCAGATATAATTCATAGTATATTTTTTAAAATTTGTAGAATTTTCAAGTGTTATTATAATCTTTCATAAATAAGTTTCAGAACATTAAAAAAATTATGAAGCACATAATTCTTGGAATAATTTTTTCATACATTCCATTGTGTAAGCATTTCATTATTCCTAATATATTGCAACTTAAATGATTCATTTCCAGACTGGAATGATGACTGGAAGCCTGGTCCTTATCCTAAAACTGAGGCTGAGAGGATAGCTGCTGCCCGCAAGTATGGATTGCTGCCTGAAGATTATGAGCCATATCCTGATGATGGATGGGGCTATGGTGACTACCCAAAGTTACCAATAGTGTCTGCTGAGAGCAGAGATCCTTATGAGGATTATGATTTCCCAGAGTATCGGCGAAACTTTGGAGAGCCTGTAAGTGGTTCCCATGTCATGGATGGTTGGACAAATGCAGCAAATGCTTGCAATGTAACCTCAGTGTGTCGGCTGCTGAAATTCCCTAATGAGATTTTTGTGCTTGCAGGTGTTGAGTAGAATGAATGATAGGACCAGATTAAAGATATTTGGTCCACTGTTATGTTTAGTAATTGTCCATTTCACTGAAATTAACAACATTTTATTTTAAATGTTTTGATTGAAATAAAATTTCTTCTTTTGATATTTGCATTTCATTCCCTCTTTCTTTGATCAAATTTTAAATAGGTTGGTATTTAAATCCTACAGAATAACCAATGTAAAACCATTGGCATAGGTTTTGACCATCATTTCCGTACTAAAAATACCCTTTTGCTAACCATTATGAATTGTGATCAATTTTTAAATTACTGTTAGGGATTAAACTTGAGCATTACTTTTTGTTTGCACATACATATGGATTGCTATTTTACAGGTGCATGCTGATTTTGACATATATGGACTGGACCGCATCAAGCATGAGCACACAGATCCTCAAACCCCACTGCAGCAGCTGGGCTTCTTTGTCTGTATTGTGGGTGGGTGTTCCCTCATGGCGTACCTGTGTCATGGTACTGGCAAATATGAAATGGTGAGTCCTGAACTCTAGGCCTATGCAAAGCCTCACATCTGATGTTGATTATTTTTTGCATGGTGCTTCATAATTAATGCAAGTGCAATAGGATAAACCTAAAATATTATGGCGAGAGATGTAACCAATCCGCATGATTTATCAGCTAAAGCTTTTCATGAAACGAGGTACATTTAAAGACAGGTTTTCAGTGGGCCTTAACTTTTACTATTGCACCATTCACTGACAACTATCAACAAAGAGGTCTGTCAGGGGTGGAATTTTGCAACACTAGCTCCGGTAAACTAAGTACCTGAAACCTGCCGACGGCTCACTTACAATCATTATTTAGATGACAAAAACTGTTCGTTTCCAAGTAAATTATGTTCTGCACCCATAGTGCCGTTGATTTTTCCAGTTACATATATATATATATATACTCGAATTTACATCTTCCATCTTTTCATGAAGCAATTTTAATTAACAATTTCATTACTCTACCAAGGGCAGCCATCATGAGAAATTTTGCACATTTGCGGACATTTTTTGCTAAGTTAGATTAAAAAATAATTGATGAAAATAGTAGCAATTATTTCCAAATAATGAATTATAGGAGTAGGCAATTTAAGCAGGAATTTGATTTTGTCGTAAAGGTTATGACAAGAGAACGTCTCTCTATTAATTAACTTTCATTTTTTCAGAAGCCGCCGCAAATCCCTTACAGCGGAGAAGTTCACTACACTTTTGAGAAAGCTGATAGCCAGTGAGATGGGAAGTGGATTGTAAATATGAAAGTATTACACACATTTGATCTTCTCATTTCCCCTTCTACCATTTTCGAGAAAAAATATGGATATTCTTTTGGCACACTAGTTTGATCCTAATAACTTGTTCATAGAATCGATTGGTCCTATCCTGGAATTATTTAAAAAATGCATAAGTTAATGACATATGCTCTATATTAAAATACAGAGGATATTAAAATGATTTTTGTTTTCTAGTCTTTATTTTAAATAATATAAATCTATTCTAGGTAACACATTGTGAAGCGATTTTGCAATGGCGACGCACTACGACCCTCTGAAAAAAAGAAAATGGTGAAAATAATTCATTCGGTTTTATCAAAATTTCTCTTATATGGGGGGCAAAAGTGAAAAAAGGATATTCAAGACACTTAATCTACAGAGAATTGACAAGGATAAATATAAATATCTATATATATATATAGATATTCGATTCTAAATATTACTGTTATGATAAAAATTTTTATGGAGACAATGCAAGGCAATCGAAACTTCCTCTTATTGTGGTACGCATACTCACACAATGATGTTATTGATGGGAATGTGAATGAGCTTAACGAAGAATCCAATAAAGCCCATGATAGCAAATCCCACGGCTGTGGCCACGGCAATCTTCTGGAACTCTTTACGATCAGGTTTTGTGCACCGCTTGATGAGGCGATATGAATCTTTGCTGAACTGCTTAGCAGGTTCAACAATTTGCATCACCTGGTCCATTGTGTTGGGCAACTTCAACTGAAATAAACCAAAAGTATTATTTAATGACATATTCTATGAGATACACAACAATGGTGGTCCTAGAACCATAGGTTAAAAACTGCAGCAATATGAAAAAGCTCTTAATTTTTGTGTGTTGACCTGTGGCAGTGGTTCCCAAAGTGGGTGATATCGCTCCCTAGGGGCGGGGGAAAGATTGTGGGGGGCGGCAAGGAAGAAAAGGGCGGCAGTCCGAAGTCGAAGTTCGAACGTTTGTTAGACGATTTGTACGTAGCACAAGACTCACAATGAGTTTTTTTTTTCACCCAGATCTAATTTTGAGCGCATTTTCTCATTTATGGAAAAAATGCACTATTGTGCTCGCCATGTCCGTCCGTCCGTCTGTCCGTGACCTCAAGTTTTCGCCGACGAGAAAATGCGCGCTCTGTCACTCACTGCAGTGAGTACTGAGTTATATTTTTCAACCTCTTCTGGGTTTACGTCTCTGATAAATAAACGGCCGGACTCCCGGACAATTTTCAAATTTAATTATCAAGAAATATCTCTCAAACTAATGAACTTAATTCGATGAAACTTTGTACACGTATTTATTAGGACGTAACCGTAATGTTTAGTTCATGAAATTTTTTTTGAATTTTGCCTTCATTTGTTTTTGCTATAGTTATATGGCAATACGGACCGAAATTCACAGTGATCAAGGAATTTCTTCCAAACTACTGGACAGATTCGAACGAAAATTTGAATTTACAGTCCTAACTACCGAACGGTAATGTTTAGCTCGTGAAAAAATTTTCGATTGTATCTTCGTTCGCGATTTTTAGCGCATTTTCTCATTTATGGAAAAAAATGCACTATTGTACTCGCCATGTCCGTCTGTCCGTCCGTGACCTCAAGTTTCCGTCGTCGAGAAAATGCGCTCTTTGTCACTCACTGCAGTGAGTACTGAGTTATATTTTTATTCATTTCACCTTCATTCGTGATTTAAACAGCAATACGTGCTTTAATTCGAAGTAATAAAGAAATTTCCCAAACTACTGACCAGATTTGAACGAAACTTGGTATTTTAATACCTAACCTCAGCAACGGTGATGTTCAGCTCGTTACAATTCTTTCGATTTATCCTTCGTTTGCGAGTTATACGGCTATACGTCAACGGCTCTTGGTTAAACCAGCCGGTAGAAAAGCCGGTCGTTTCTCCTATATCTACATAACTCGCGATCGAAAGCAAAATAGGAAAATTGTCACGAGCTGAACATCACCGTTAGGTTAGGTATTTATATACAAAGTTTTGTTGAAATCTATTCAGTAGTCGAGAAGAAATTTTTTGATCGCCGCGAATTTAAGCGATAAATTATCAGGCGATACGAGCCGAATATAAGGAAGTGTGAAATCAAGAATGATGGCGAAAAAAAAACTCGCAAATGAAGGTAAAATCCATACATTTTTAGAAGCTAAAAAAGTCACCGTTTGGTAGTTAGGATTGTATATTCAAAATTTCTTTGATCCCTGCGAAATTCTTTGATCTCTGCGAATTTCGGCCTGTATCGCAATATAAACTCACAAATAAAGGTGAAATTTAAATTATTTTCACGTGCTAAAAATCATCGTTAGGTTTTGATGAATACATGTTCCAAGTTTCATTGAGCTGCGTTTATTAGTTTGGGAGATATTACTTGATAATTGAATTTGGAGATTGGTCGTGAGACCGGCCACGAGTCCGGCCGTAAATTTGCCCGAGACGTCCTATAGGTTTCTAGTGCTGAAACTTAAAACAGCTGAAAAACATATTGGTTCACCAAATGGGGTTCTATTTGTGGAATAGTAAACATTTGTGTTTAGCCTTTTTCTTTTAAAACTGTAGTGTACTAAATTTCAAGAAAGAGGCATATGTTTTTATATGTGTCTGTGGGGGGCGCTAGAAATTCAATAGGGAACCAAAGGGGGTGCCAGCCTGAAAAAGTTTGGGAACCATTGGCTTATGGGCACCGTAGTTCTTGTCTACTGATAAAAACACAAATCGTAATACACATGATTCAATTTGGTGGCATATACAATTATATTCACGAGACTATAGTTTAATAACTAGTCAGTTAGTTCTAATATAACAATTGTACACAGGCTTGGAGAAGAATAAGCAAAATATTCAGTGGCACTGTCATGGAAGCTTTTAAATTTTCTTTATAGGCTGAATAATTGATTCAAGTGTTCTTTTGGTAATGCCTCATTCAACCACCATCCTGCATTATCATTCACAGATATGGATGCAACATCACCTTGACCAATACTGGAAAACTCAATACCAATTGTTATCATGATGAAGTAGATTGGAGCCCTAATCTCAGATCCTCCGATACATTAACCCTAAGTAAGGAAACCTTCACTAACATGTCAATAAAAATTCATTACTGGAAAAAATGCCCACTGATAATTACAATATACCTAAATCAATAGGTCGTGTGAGAAAATCACTGATAAATATTGTGATAATAGTTATATACACAAAGTAAGATAAATTTAGGTTTAATTCTCAAAATGTGCCCTCCTTCCAATGGCACACAATTCAGACTGTTGATATAATTTTTTTTCTTTCATATGGCTCTCATTGGAATGTGGCTAAAGCAAATGGATAGTAAAAAATATACAGCAGAAAAAAAACAGTCGAATGTCTCCGTGGTAACTGAAATGACTATTTGTACCAGGAAACAAAAATTAAACTTGAAGTGGACTCCAAGATCGGCCTAAAATGGGAAATTACCAGAAACTTACTTGTAGGTAATTACTACCATACTTGCTACCATCTATGTTTATACATACATTTTTTACCAGTCGCATCACCTACCTACGTACTCATCATCACAATACCTAATGACAGTATTCAAACTCACATAAATCTCTTCAAGAACTGTCTCTTAAAAAACCTAATGTAATAAAAAAGCAGTAGCTACCAAACATCACATCAACTTGTGAAATTTTCTGGCCTATAAAATTTCTGTAGGGTATTAATGTTTCAGCAGATATAAAAGAAAAGGAAGGAACATGTTAGCAGCTCAGTTGAACAGGGAAGAATATTGACTCATCTGAACTTATAAGCTTAAATCCTGCTCATCATGGAATAAGAATTGTGGTGAATGTATTTCATATTTGTTGTACCAAAAACTACCTGACCTTGCAATTGGGAAGCCTTGGTGTTCATGTCAGACAGGGATGATAGGAAAAGGAAGCAGAAGCAGTTGATAAAGAGACAAGAAAGTTTTTCATATGTACCTGTAAGGATTGTTATTTTTCCTGAATCTTTAAAGCTCAAACAAAGTATTGAAAGGCCTACAAATCAAACTCATGGTTTCCCATTATTGAGAAATAAATTGCAAACAAACTAAAGCAAATGCTACTTGCTATTGACCCTTTTGCAGGCAATATGAAGACATTCAAGTTTCCAAAACTAATACAAGAAAATATGAACTATTGCAAGATATATTTACTTGCAGGTCTTTTTAAAAATTTTACATTTTGTAATAGAAAAGTGCACTTGAAGAAGAAGTGCACTTGAAGAATTTATAGAATTCCTATGCAAAAATTTATTCACATCCAAATTTAAGCATCGAAATGTAAAAACCAACCATCTAAGATTAAATTTAATCTATTTCAATCAACTTAATTTAAATAATTGAATGGATATTACTACTTCCCTCTTTCAACAAAATGCAGAAAGAGCTTCAATTTCATTATCAATGTCAAAACTTTCATTTAAATGCTGATTCAATTTTTTTAGCATGGTAGGGGATGATGTCATGTACAAAACAGTGGTCAGATGATTGGTGATTAGCAGCGGCATAATAATGTTGCGTCAAGCACAAACTGGGGCTCGTGGTGGATCTTTTTGGGATGAGATTTCAATTGACCATAAATGGTAACTTGACTGCAAAAGGGATAAACCTAATTGCAGATGGGATAAACCATAATGTAAAAAAAAAACATTGTAATAAGTTGCATTTCACAATACATTTTCTATTACAATAGTATCTATTTTTAGCGCATTTTCTCATTTATGGAAAAAATGCACTATTGTTCTCGCCATGTCCGTCTGTCCGTCCGTCCATAACCTCAAGTTTTTGTCAACAAGAAAATGCGCTTCTGTCACTCACTGCAGTGAGTACTGAGTTATATTTTTATTTTCTTTCTATTGCCAACCCTATTTCCAATAATAATTTAATATGTAAACAAAGAGAAATAACTATGCCAAGGTGATACCATCAAATGAGGTAATAAGAGATGGTTTTGAGGGTATT